TCTATTGCAATAGTAATGTTACCTTTGTCTTCTTTTGTAAATACCATCCTGTGTTCTATTGATTTATTTTTAATTTGAATGACTGTTTGATTCTTTTTGTAACAGGACTAATTAGTTTCGCTACACACATCGGTAACAGATTTTGCAATGACACTTTTTCCGATATTGTTGGCAGTTGTGTTTAACTCTTTGAAGTACACTGGTACATTTTTTATACCACTAAAAATTAGTCCTATGTTTCACAACGGCCCATATAATGTACCACCAAACAAAATAAATTTATCGCTTGTCACCACTATACTTGGCTAAAATGTACCACTATACTGAATTGCCTAATAAACGTGTTTAAAACACGTGCCAGAAATTAATTACTATTTAACTGGGAATGAGCCACAAGTAAAGATAAAAATACGTTTATTGACGTTTCAATTTCCACATCGGAAATCGTTCTCAAAATACAAACAGTAAATTAAACAAATTTTGTTTAATTTACTGTTTGTATTTTGAGAACGATTTCCGAAGTGGAAATTGAAACGTCAATAAACGTATTGTTATCTTTAATTGTGGCTTATTCCCAGTTAAATAGTAATTAATTTAAAATGCCACAACAAAATAGCTTCAGAACAATACGTGTCAGAAATATTTCCCAGAAATTTGTGTCTTTAGATATCAGTTGTAATTCTAACAACTTCTAGTGCACTAGAAGTGCAAGTTCTTCAACGTATCTGTAATCTGTAAGACAAATGAGTCTGTAGTGTATTTATTTAATCACTGGAACATAAAACAATACTATTTTTATACAAACTTTCCAAACTCCAAAATATGTACCAAAGTGCAGCTAACATTTTTCCTTCGTAGGAATAAATGGCATCCAGTAATAATAGGAGGAGCCTTTACCTTTCAGGTTAGTAGGGATGACAGGGGAAGAATTGTACTGGGAGTTTGAGAAAATTCCTAGTGATCAAGAATCAGAAATTTATGATGATTCAGGTGAAGACGAGATGTTTGAACGACCGAGTGATGAGTTTCCTGAAAAAATACTGAAAAAAAAGACAATTTCCTGGTCTACACAGAATATTAAAAAAATACTACCAGTAAAAGATTTTACTGATAAACAAGGACTATATTGTTCTGAAGCTATTTTCTTGTGGCATTGTAAATTAAGTACTATCAAACTGGGAATAAGTCACAATTAAAGATGAAAATACGTTTATTGACGTTTCAATTTCCACTTCGGAAATCGTTGTCAAAATACAAACAGCAAATTAAATAAATTTTGTTTTTTGTTACATAGTAAAAAATTCTTCTAATAATTTAATTTTATCTGACTCATTTATATTGACAATTCAGACATACATTATGCATTTTAAAGTAGACGACTTTAAAATGATATTGCCAATATGGTTGAGTTGCGCTCCTGGGACGAATTTACTTATAAGATAGTTCATTCGATTACATGAAATCAACTTTAACTTGAGAATATCTGTCAGAAAAAAAATCATAGCATGTAATTCGTCTTTAAAAAGACACACATGACATGATGACAGTAAAATTCTCCTGTTAGTAATTCCATACTAAATTATGAGGGAAAAACCAGGAAAAAAACCTCATAATACTATCCCGACATTGTAAGTATTTGTTCGTGAATTTAGTTGAATTATTCCATTGAACCCTATGTTCATTATCCCATGCGTGTTTACAGATTTGAGATCTATCAAATTCTTTATTTTTAATATAAGATTGATGTTCACTTATTCTAACATTTAATGGCCTTGATGATTCACCTAAATAAAACTGATCGCATTCACAAGGTATTTTATAAATGCAATTCTTTGTCCTTTCTTGTTCATTGTTAGGTTTGGTTTTGGACAAAATAGATCTCAACGTGTTTGTTGTTTTGAATGTTGTTGAAATGTTGAATTTATTTTCTATCCTTTTAAGTTTTTTTGATAGTCCTTTTATTTACGGTATTGTTATTTTCCTCATATTATTCCTTGTGTATGCTTTAGGATCTCGTTCTAAGTTGTTCTGTTCTATTCGATCGATTGTTGAAAATTCCTTATTTATAAACGATAAAGGATAATCATTTTTTAATAAAACAGATGTTAACACATGTTTCTCCTCCAAGAACGAATTTTCATTAGAACAAGTAAGTTTGGCTCTATCGTATAAGGATTTAATTATTCCCTTTTTTACATTAATATTGTGATTTGATTTGAAATTTAAATATCTATTGGTGTGTGTTGGTTTTCTATACACCTGAGTCTCATATTCAGTATCGTTCTTAGAGATTAAAACATCCAGGAAAGGTAGCGTGTTATTATATTCCTTTTCCATAGTAAATGTTATTGTCTCTTCTTTATCGTTTATATCATTTAGGAATGTGTCCAACAACTCTGATCCATGAGACCATATTGAGAATACATCATCTACATACCTCCACCATACTGTGGGTTTGAAATTTTGTTTAGAAATGATATTTGTTTCAAAATCTTCCATAAATATATCGGCAAAGAATGGAGATAAACTAGAGCCCATTGCTAGACCAAAATTTTGTTTATAGAATTCATTATTTAGTTGAAAATATGTATTATCAGTACATAATGTTAATAACTCCATTATAGCCGATATGTTTAGTCTTGTTCTAGTTGCCAATGAATCATCACTCTCTAATTTTGTCTTGACTATACTTAAAGTCTTATTTAATGGCACATTCGTAAATAAACTATTTATTTCAAAACTTACCAAAGTATGATTTGAATTAAATTCAATATTTGATAATTTATTTAAAAAATGTTGTGTATTTTTTATGAATGTGTCATTTTTATTTGTAAATGGTTTTAAAATATTTAATAAAAATTTTGATAGTTCACTACAAGGAGAATTCATGGTACTACAAATGGGTCTAAGTGGTATATTCGTTTTATGAATTTTCGGTACTCCATAAAAATGAGGAGTCTTACTGTAATGAGGTGTAATTAATCTGATAACTTGTTAAAACATCTTTAAACTTGAATAAAGTTCTATATATTTTGTTTTCCAAAGACTTGGTTGGATCTTTTGTTGATTTTGTATAAGGTCCGTGTATTAATAGATCTTTAATTTTATTTTGGTATTGAAATATTAAATTTCGTATTTTCGTCTTTAATTGTGGCTTATTCCAGTTTAATAGTAATTAACAAGGACTATGTTAGGAATTGTTACAAAAAGAAGACACTTTGCTTACCCCTTACAGTTTTTTCAATCTATTTATATCTCATGATATTTTAGATAAAATGACTTTTCAAACCATGTACGCGGAACAGGAATTTCAAAAAAATCAAAAGAAATATACTATAACAACCATGAAGGAAATAAAAGTATTTATTGGTCTAAATTTCTAATAGGTATAAAACCACTACCAAGTTATAGGGATTATTGGAGTATAAATAAAGATCTTCGGTGTAAATGACAACCTAAAACCAAAAAAAGGAGAGAATGAATATGATAAGCTGTATAAAGTCCAACATTTTCTCAATGACGTGAAGCATTATTTTCAAAAATACTAGCGTTTCTTATTGCGTATTCTACTTCTTCTTTCAAAATGTCTGGCCCAGTTGCATTGATTATCTGAGTTGTTGTTTCTATCGTCTTCAAATAATTCATTCAGGTATTCTGTCCATGTTTTTATTTTATTCTCTAGATTTACAATAAGATTTCCATCTTTGTCTTTACTCTTTTACTTTTTTGTGTATATTGAACACATCGTACTTTGTCTCATAGGTTTCCATTTCTTCACACTGTTCTTTAATTCACTCCTCTTTGGCTTCTTTTATTCTCTTTTTTATGTGTTTATTTATTTCTTTGTATTTGTCTGGGTAATTCTTCATTTCTTCTTTGTTCCATCAAGTCTAGTATATCTTGTGTCATCCACCCCTTATTCTTCATCAAGTGGCGATTTTCCTCAAATTCTTTTACCATCTACCTTGCCTTTAACAATCAACCTCTCCATGTCTTCCATTCGTCTGGTAATGTGTTCAAAGTTCTACACCTAACCTTTTGAAAATAAAAGTTTTCAGTATTTGATTGTTAGATAAAATGAATTTCTATCAAGTAACGGTAGAATGCATCAGTTATTAATAAATCATAAAATTAAAATATTTAGAATTCATGCATTCTTAATATCTAACTTTAATGTGACCGAACGCCACCCGTTATACACATTTTGCACTGCGTGTGGCCTAACTCCTAACAATATTCTGTATTATATTTTGCAAAATTTTGGAATGTATTTAATTTATAAAACAATTTTCATTGGTTTTCAGTCCTCTACAAATAATTTCTCATGAGTTTTGATGTAAAATAATTAGGAGAGCAGGATCTCAACAGTATAGAATATCCCACTGAGTTTCCTATGGCCCGTTTGAAGATTCGTCACCAGATATAGAATGCTAACTATCATCATTCCACAAAAAGGTATTAACAAAAATAGAATGCCTTTTTGTTAAAAAACAATTATAAATATAATGCTGAGGCTTAAATTTGGTCAAAATGTTCTCCTGTATTAAAAACACTGTCGCTGATATTAAATAACAATCACAAGCGACAGGCATTCGAGACTAAATTAATGGAACAAATTCCGTGTTATGCGCATCACAATCCGAAATTTTCAGGATAGGCCTACCAATCCGTAATAAAAATATACGTTTTTTTAAAAGCTGGGCAACAGAGCTAAGCTGGTTACACGAGAAAGATAGAGATGCGGAACATAAAAACTAAACAATATACAGATCACTATCTCCTAAAATTCTCGAAACATTTTCATCGATGCATGTGATGTTTTTGTTTGTTTGTTATTTTTCACTGCTTAAACTCCCAAATTCACATGAAAATGCGCCGTGGTAAAAAAATCATCTGACATAAAAGTCTTTTTTTTTTGTCAGGACACAAAAATATCAAAGGTTGTATGTGTGGACCTATAAGACGGTAGGAATTTTATTTTTTAGGTTGATTTAAACGCATTAGGGTGCGAGCATTTTCGACAATTCTTCATCTTGTAGACACCCTTTAAGGAATTCATCTTGTGTTAGTTGTCCGTCGTTGTTTTCGTCCATCTTGGCGAAAATGTTTTTGGCCCTTTCTTCGGCGGAGTCAGCTGGCCTGTTGGAGGAACATGCTCCCAACATGTCGTATATTGCCTGCAACAATAAAAAATGCTTAGTGATGTTATTTTATCAGAGCAATATTTAGTTAAAAAAAACTGAAAGGAAACTGAATCTGAAGAGTTTTTTAACTTATCTAAATATTTTGTAATCTGTTGCAAGAATAAACAAACAGTATGACAAGTAACTGTGAGATACCACATATCGTCTCTTCGCATGAAAAGTATACAATCTCCAAATTTTTACGAAATTGAGTTAACTATATAGAAACGCTCAGTATCATCAATATTTTCTCTGGAATAGTGACAATCAATCGTAATTCAAGAAATACCCGCTAGGGAGCGCATTGGTTAGTTTTAAACACAGAATAATAAACAAACAGAATGCCCACTCTCCATGGAAAATTAAGTACGCGCATCTCCTTCGCGCAGACGTTCCGCCATGTTTTAGAGGGAACCAGTGTTGTTTATGTGGTGTAGATAGAAAAATTAACCCGGTTTAATTGACTTAAGGCAATTATAATTCTAAATGACCAACTTGAAACAAACAGTTTTCCCCTCCTCAACCTATTTCATTAGAGACTATAAATTTGTAAACCCAAGCCAAAAATAGATCACTTGAGAAAGGCAATCAGCCGAAACAGCTGTAGTGATAACATTTAAAATAAATTTTGTGGAAGTTTGAAAACAAAGTTTTCAGTGTTTTATTGTTACAAGTTTTTACTATTCTTACAATAAATTTTAAAAATTTTAAAATGTATTCTGTCCATAATTGTATATTTTAATGTGTGTTATAAATGTTTAGTGTCAATGCTTATATAAATAATCTCAACGACTAGTAAGTTACACTGAAGAATTGTGATATTTTTTAAATATTTACATATTTGTCTTATTATAGTGTCTTGAAAAAGGAATAAAACCATTCCGAAAGCTCGACAAAAAGTCAAAAGGCTTTTTTTAACATCCCGGCCAATATTCTGACTGCAACCCTAATAGAACAGAAACTTGGATGCATTTGAAAACTCCACCATAACACTGAATAGTAAATCCATAGAAAGAGTGAGTAAATTTAAATACCTGGATCGTGGCTTTTTGAAGACTGGGCATCGGACAGGGAAGTAAAATGTCGCATTGAGCAAGCTCGACAAGCTTTCGTAAAATTCAAGAAGGTACTGACTTGTTCTGAGTTCGATCTTCAACTGAGACTAAGGTTTACTAAGTGCTACGTATGGTCAGTGCTGCTATATGGCGTAGAGGGCTGGACACTCAAAACGAGAGATATAAACAAATTGGAAGCTTTCGAAATGTGGCTTTATCGCCGTATCCTAAAAATACCATGGACAACGAAAATCACAAATATAGATGTCCTTAAAAGAATAAACCAAGAACGCCAACTTTTCGAAACCATCAAGAAAAGGAAAACGGCGTATCTAGGTCACATCATGCGAAATGAAAAATACCAGTTCCTCCAACTTATAATCGAGGGTAAAATTGAAGGCAAGAGAGGAATGGCACGCAAGAAAATGTCCTGGCTCCGAAACATAAGGCAATGGACAGGGATTAACGACATACAATCTCTGATACATATTGCAAGAAATAGAGAGTTAATGGAAAATGTGATCGCTAACATCCATTAGTTGATTTGCATCTGAAGAAGAAGAAGAACCCTAATAAACTGTGTTGTTTGTGTGTTCGAGACAGAAAGGTCTAAATTTGCAAATCATCATAATAGAATATATATATATATATATATATATATATATATATATATATATATTATATATATATATATATATATATATATATATTCTCGTATAATAAATATTCGTATAAAAGTATATTAACTATATTATGTTTCATAAAATCTTTACGGAATTTAATATTAGTTTTTTCATTCCAAAGAAAAACGCTTGTGAAGATTGTACTGCCTACAGTAATGGTGTTGGAAGTGAAAAAGAAGTAATGAGGAAGGTATACGAAGACCACATAAACAAAAAAGAATTATCACGGTTAGAAAAAGACAAAAAACAAATCTCAGGTGTAGATCATCGCTAATCGTTGCTACTTATGATCTTCAAGCATCATTGTCTTGTCCAAAAGGCGAAATTTCAACTTTTTATTACGTCTCGAAATTAAATACTTACAATTTTACCATTTTCGATTTGAAAACAAAACGAGATAGCCACATGCGTTTTTAAGCATATCTAGGAGTTATCTGCTAGTGAAAATGAAGATATAGACATCATTTTTTACCGTGATAACTGCAGAGGTAAGCAGGTCAGCAAAATAACAAGTTTTAATAAGTATGTACATTCATTTTGTGGCAGTAATTCTTAACCTTAATTAAATTACTCACAAATTTCTCATTAAAGGACATACACAAAATGAAAATGATTCTCATTCCGTAATTGAAAGAAACATTAAATAAGCCCTTAAATCTGGACCTATATATACTCCTGATCAATACGATTCTTTAATAAGGACAGCCAATAAATCCGTTATTCCTTACAAAGAAAATAAAACTGTTAAAATGAATGATATAAAAATTTGACAAATTACAAAAGCTAATCGTGGCAGTTTTTTTATAAGACTTCAAACAGTCAAGAACATTTTAAAATGGTAAAAGGTGCAACTGGTAATTCAAAAGCTCTAAGAGAAAACTATTTATTTAAATCATTATACCACGTACCTATTAAAATTTCACAGCAGAAGAAAAATAGTTTATTGGGTTTATTGCAAAAGAAAACCATTCCTGGATATTATCTTTGATTATATGGAAATCTTTAAAAAACTTTTCCGTTCCTTGTAATTTGTTTTTAATTTATTTTACTTTAATTGATTGTTTATATTTAATAGTAAATGTGATTTATAAAGAGTTTTGCCTTCGGTACACTCATTTGTAAGAGTAAGTTTCAGTGTATGGTTAATTTTTTTTGTACGTTGTAAATTCTTAAATTTATGCCTTATTACTTACTGTTTGTTATAATATTTTTGAGAATAAAAATTTGCTTATAATCCTAATTTTTCATTGGACAAACCTTATTTTATCATAATAGTACTTTTTAAACATCTGTATAATAATGGAAATTAATAATATTTTCTCTGAAAAGTAGCAAAATTCAAAACGTCTTATTTAAAAAAAAAATTTAATATTATTATTTATAAGTAAGATTGTGGCTTGTACCGTTGTTGCTTTCAGGTCTTCAATTGTTAGTTTAGATCTGTGAAGACACATGTTTACTTTAATTAATCTTTCACTTATGGCTTCCCAAGTTGTTATGAACTTTTTTAGTCTTATGTGAATCATTAAAGAAATTACCTGTTGAGCTCTACATTCTTTTGGTACTCCAATATAGAAATGGAAATTTTCCTAAATTTTCATAGCCGGTTCCCTTTTTTTTTGTTTCGGTAATGACTGCTATGTCTATTTTTAGTTGTGTTAATTTATGTAAAACTTTATTGAATTTATACTCAGTTATACCTAGGTTTTGACCTACTTATCTTCAAATGCACATGCGAATGTCACATGTGTCAAAATAAAACGTATTTTAAATATTTAATCTGCAAGCAGGAAATTTATTATTTTGAGCACATAACTGCGACATAGACGGGGTGAAGGAAAAGCTCAAATATGCTGTTCTATTTAATTTATGGCACACATAACTTCGAACTAGGAAACACTATCATGAAAATCCATGTGAATGTTCATTGAATTTCGGATCATCTCAATTTACTGAGGTCGTAAATGCAGCAATGTCTGCACAATGTGCATTTTAGGAAACTTAATAGAAATGGGAGTTTACGATCCTTTTTTACATCATACTTTGATACTCGCAACTTAAACTGTTACAGTTTAATATGTACTATGAAATTACATTACAGTGTTATGTGCATATAGGGTAGTAATAAAATTGGTGACGAAATAGTACGGTGGATTACTTCGTCCTGAACTCTCTTTGTAATACTTATTCTAATAAACAAATTATTTGACTCCTCAGTGTTTCAGTAGCAACTCCGCCGTTGTCGGTGTAAGGTTCAATTTTTACTTTGTAAAATTTTTACTCTGGAGGGGTAGAATGCGAAAACATGGAGTTAATTCCAGTTTACTCCAATTAGCTTCTACTCAAATTCGACTCTCACCTGCACGCTGGTATCCCCTGTAAACCGAATAACCCAATTGGAGATCCGGTATTCAACCCGGCTGGAAAGTTGGGTCGGTAACTGACGAGAGAGGGTGAAATGGCCCTCCGAAAAGGGGGTATGGCGTTGGTTTAATTACCCAACCCTGTAAAAACCTTATTATGAGAGCTCCAAAGAAAGAAACCGGACTTTCTAACCTACGACAAACTCGCAAACGAAATAAGGCTAGTGATTTAAAAATTTCGACGTGGAACGCAAGAAGCCTTTATCAGCCTGGAGCCACGGCTCTGCTCATACAAGAAATGAATAAAGCCAAAGCAGATATCATTAATTTACAAAAAATAATTGCAATATTTACTACAGTGGACATCCTACCCGACACAAATTTAGTACCGGATTTATTGTAAGCAACAAGGTCAAACATAGTGTAATTGATTTGTCCGTTGCATAAAAGGGGTGATCAACTGGAGTGTAAGAACTATAGAGGCATTACTCAGCATATAAAATCTTCGGCAATATATTGTTTGAAAGACTTAAACATTTTACAAAGAAAATTGTTGGTCAATATCAATACGGATTTACTGCTGGAAGGTTAACTACACATCAAATTCAAGCACATAGGCAAATTCTAGAAAAGTCACTAGAATATAACATAGATACGCACAATCTCTTCGTCGACTTTAAAGCAGCCTATAACAGTGTGAAAAGAACTGCATTCTATAATGTAATGATAGACTTTGAGATCCCAACTACGTCAGTTAAGTTGACCCGACTAATAATGCAAAACGTAAGTTCATGCGTTAGAATTGAAGGAGAAAATTCTACGTTCTTTGACATTAATAATGTTCCAAGAAAGGGGGGTCTCTTCTTTAATATTGCCTTGGCAAAGGCAATCAG